AATACGAAAAAAGTGTGTTCTTCAAAAGCGAATATCTCCAAAAAATTATCTAATGAGATGTATCAAAAAACAAACTATTGAGAAAAGATACATCTAGATGTTAAAATGATTTTTAAATCTCTTGCTGTGTTAACGTACTTTACAGGTTGTTGCTTATATCGTACAATTGCCAAGTCATTATAATTATTACGAATAAATATTTTGAATTACGAAGAAATAAAGATGACTAATATTGATACTAACAATTTATAACAAAATTGTTGAATAGGTGCTTAAAGAGACACTGAATAAAATAAACTGACCTTGTTTTACATGATATCACACAATTTTTTTATAGTGGAAGAATTGTGTTGCGAGACTTAACTTAAAAATTTGAAGTCTGTGACACTTCTAGAAGTACCTTAGAATTTTTATGACGGTGAGTGAATCGCTGTCAAAGTTAAAGAAGTTTGACTAGGAAAAAATCATAATCCTTGAATTATTGTTGGTACATTTATGTACAAATAAAATCAGAAGAGACCGCTTCGATTAATTCCAGTTTTCTACCCTTTTCTTGACTGGAAGGTGAGTAACCGGTAGCGGCTAGACAGCTAACTTTTAATCCATAAAGATATTTCGAGATTTTTAATTTTTTCGTTTAGTTATAAGCTTAAAGCTACCTAAAATTCAAAATTTGAAGTTTGTAACTCTTTTAGAAGTACCTTAGAATTTTGATGATGTGTCAGTGAGTCAATGTCGAAATTAAGGAAATTTGACAAGCAATAAAATTAATACACTATGAGGTATAATCTATATCTATACTAATATATAAAATCCTTAAGTGACTGACATACTGATTAATCACGATCCTGCTCAAACCACTCAACGTAAGAAGCTCAATTTTGGCATACAGGTTGATTCTAGGGTGTAGAGGTTCGATAAGAAGGGATTTTTTCGAAATTCCAGTTCCAAGAGGGTGAAAACACCCCTCAAATATTACAATATTTTTTATTTAAAAAACGGTCAAGTTTCCGAAAAAAAACGCTTAAACAGGTATATTTTATTTTGTTTTTTTTACATATTTTAAGATTTTTTGAAAATGTATACAGGGTGTTTCGAAAAATCTGGTCATTGATTAATCACGATCTTGCTTAAAGCGCTTGACGTAAAAAGCTGATTTTTGAAAAACTGATTGACTTTAGGGTGTAGAGGTTCGATAAGAAGGAATTTTTCGAAACTAGAATTCTAAGGGGGTGAAACTATCTTTCAAATATTAAAATATTTTTTTAGTTAAAAACCGGTGAGTTTTTCGGAAAAACTCTTAAACACGTATATTTTATTTTATTGTTTTACATATTTTAAGATTTCTAATAAATTTATACAGGGTGTTTCATAAAATATGACCATTGAGTAATCACGATTCTGCTTAAACTGCTCGATGTTTAAAGCTGATTTTTGGCAAACGGATTGACTGTGGTGTGTAGACGTTCGATAAGGAAGGGTTTCTCGAATCTCCTATTCCAAGAGGGTGAAAACGCCCCTCAAATATTGGAATATTTTTTATTTAAAAAACGGTTAGTCTTTCGGAAAAACGCTTGGACAAGCATAATTTATTTGGTTTTTTTACATATTTTGAAATTTAAAAAAATCATACAGGGTGTTCCAAAAAGTTGGGTAATTTCTTAACCACGATTCTGCTTAAACTGCTTGACGTAAAAAGCTTATTTTTGGCAAACGGATTTTTCGAAAGTCAAATTCCAACGAGATGAAACTACCCCTCAAATATTACTAAGTTATATAATAATATCGCCATATTGTTTTTTCTCATATATAATAATAACTCCCGTTGGGAGTAGCAAGGTACAGCTTGCCATACTAGAGCCGTTCGGTATACAAGGAAGGTAATTTAGGTAAATAAAACGAGGGGTAAACCGCAGAGGGAAAAGTGTACACTATAATTCCTTTTACTCAAATAATTCCTCAGAATTCCTCGTAATTCCTTCGGAATTCCTTGGAATTCCTGGTCTTCAAGGTCAAGGTCAATCGTTCAAGGTCTTCCTTGGAATTCCTTGGTATGAACTCGTTAACTCTTTCAGTCTGAACCAGCGTTGCCACCTCGGTTTCGCAGTTCCGCTATGAATTTTCTGGTGATTTTTATAAATGTCTAATGTCTCTATAAGTACTAGATCTAACAATAAAAAGTACTATTACGAGATTTACGTTTTTTTAGTTAAATTTTAGTACCAATAGGGGATCATGAGGTAAAAATACTGGAAATATGTCGGCACTTACTTATTAAAATTAATTTTTCTCGGGATTTTTTGAAAATGAGAGGTACCTAGTTATACTCGTATCTATAGGAAAGGAAATTAATAAAACTTCAGTTGCACGTCATAATACGATCACCAGTAAATTCCATAAGATTACGCATGGTATCATTGATGAAGTGCACCTAAAGTTGTATTAATTTTCCTATAGTATATACCTAGGTATTATTCCGAGGAAATGAAAAAATCAACTTTACACTTTCTGGAGTACTGAATAAAAAAATCTTATGAGGATTTCTTTAAAATGGCGAAATCAGGGAACGTTATAACTAGATCTCTCGGGGGTGGTTCGGCCGTACTATTGGAAAATATTTTAGATATATAATCGAGGGTACAATATTAAATTAAAAGAATATCTAACCTGTAGATATTTGATATTGGGAAATTTTTTGGAAGCGAAAAAAGAAAACGGATAGTAAAAAATCGCCTGCAAAACGTTTTTCTTTAAATTTAGTACTACCTATTATAGTATTCATGGTTTACTAATGTTCGTTAATTTTTTATAAAGTTGCTTGTAATTCCTCTTAATTCCTGTGGAATTCCTCTAAATTTCTAAGGAATTCCTTGAAATTCATTGGAATTCTTACGGAAATAATTGGAATTCCTATGGAATTCCTTGGAATTCCTCGTAATTCCTTGGAATTCCTCGTAATTCCTTGGAATTCCTTGGAATTCCTGTAGAATTCCTTCATAGTGTACACCATAATTCCTCTGCGGTTTACCCCTCGAAATAAAAGGTAATTAAAGGTAGTTTTCTCATGCTGACATAAATGTGAGAAAATTTTATCCAGTTTGTATGTTAATGGAAATTCTTGCTTTGCTTTATCATCACCATTACAAATGATTAATTCGACGCGAACAAAGTCGCTGATACACGCTAGTTACTAGATATTTTGGTAACCTATGCAGCAGTATGTCCTAATGTGTAGTAAAAAAATAATATTCTTGCTTTATCCACAACGAAGCTACAGGGTGGTGAAAAGTGCCGCTAATACCTTCGAAAAAAGGATGGTACGGCTGTGCTCGACTTGGCGGATACATAAAGTAAAGTCAGTAAAGTCCACACAAATCCACAAAATTTCAAATCAAATTCAGTTGGGTCAAATGAATGCAGCACTGTCAACGATCCCCACCTTAGGGCCCCCTCTCCGTCTACCACGCATGAATACATGGATAGCAATATATTCTTTCTTAATTGTTTTATTCAAAGGCCATACTGTTCAGAATAAGCTACTGCAATTGTGTAGTAGCATAACTTTATGGGCACAACTTTAAAAAAATATCACACATTCTGTCTCTCTACGCAGAAAAGATATAGTCTGTGAAACAAATAACTTTGAATTTGACAGTTCCCGCGGGCTTTTCTAGTGTTAATTTTATTAGGTTAGCAACTTGCGGCCATGCTGACGCAATGCCGTCTCGAATAGAACAACGTCACACTAACATAATTATTCCTTATATTTGACTATGGCTGAAATCGAAGTGTTAAGAATAATAATTTTAAAAAATATGTGGTCATCTTTTGACAAGTTTATATTAGTTTATTAATTGCAGTAAACATTATGTGGTTTGTGGTGTGAATATTTTATATGCAATTTTTTGGATTATATTCGACACTATTTTTTTTATATGACACAACACTGATGAAGGCTATAATGTTGGCCGAAACGTTTTTGTTAAATCAAAAAAAAATAATAAAAAACCAAATGAAAACTTAATCAGCGTTTTTCCCGAACCTAAATCCCAAGAAAATCAAAAATTTTAGAATAATTTTACATTATAAAATGACAGCGATCTTTATTTCATAGCCATCGCTGACGCATTTTTTTCTATGATATTTTATTATTTGCAAACATAATTTTCGAACATTGATACTTGCAAAATATATGTAAATATAAATTTTGTGAATGCAAATAATAATACATCACTATTAGTATATATTGAATGTTTTTTTTTATATTATTTTCAAACCTCAAAATTTAAAATATATTTTACATTTTACCCATTATCTTATGTACCTATTCATTATTTGTATATTGTAAAACATTTGCTGCATTTGTATGGTTCATAGTTTATTTGTCAAAGTATTTATTACTATAAATAGGTATATATTATATTTATTAACTGTATATTATGTATATTTCATGTAAACTATATCATTTTTAAAATACAAACCAAAAATACGAGAAATAATTATGTTTTCCATGTATTTTACAACATCTTTTTTAATCCGTATCTAATTAGCGTGACGTCATAAATCTCGCTCCGAGGCTGTTCTATTAGAGACGGCATTAGTCTGATATTTAGAAATGTCAAAAGCTGATGACATTTTATTACGCCGTTTCGTGTTGATTTTTGCAAGAAGAGGAAGAACTGTCACTTGTTTTATTATTTTCTTTTTTTATTTCACGAAAGTAAAAAGAGTTACCTATCTGATTCGTTCAGGCACTCAATTTAAAGAATACTTAAAGAATATCACTAACTTTTTTGATATAGGGATTTTATATTTGCCATGTTGGTAAAAAATAACGGTCAAAATTCAAAGTTATTCATTTTATAGACTATATTAGCACAGACAAAAATACACAATAAAAAATACATCAGTTTCATTTATTTGATAAGACACTAACATTTTGACACCCTGTATATCAAAACACAGCGAAATTTTTTCTTTAACCTAATCGTTTCACTTACCAATTACGTTCAGTCTGAAGGGTAGAGATATTTTCGGCTCCGTGTTCACCTGACATTCGTAAATGCCGGAATCCCTTATTTGCGGAAATTTGATTTGGAGGGTCCAGTTGGACGACTTTTCCGGCCTTATCACCTGGAAAACGGCAAGAATTAGGTTAGGTTTGTGCGAGCGTGGGCATCGGCGATGCGAAAAACGTATCCCTTATTGGGTTTTAAGAAGATCGGGGGCCAGCCTGTTGCATCAAACGTATAGGATATCGATTGAAATTTAATATTTTTACTGGATTTTTTGATTAAATTCGTGCTTACATAGAGGAAATGTCAATAATATCGAGTAGGGCTTTCAATATTGCATTTACTAATTTGTTATGGCATTTTATAAACTCGATATATTAACAGTCATGAAGCCAGCATAAATTTATTCTTCATTTTTCTATTCTACATCCCACTAGTCAACTTGCATGCCCAACAACCGTTGCCGTTTGCTGTCGCCTTATTTTATGAACGGTTTATACAGAGTTGTTCACCACATACGACACGGAGTATTGTAGCTACACGATTAGATATTTACAAAAGTTTGGGGTTCGTTGAAGGATTATTAGATCTACAATTTAAAAATATCTTTACAAAATTTTTAAAGATACATCACATTTAAACCTTACCGTTTTTGAAATATTTTCAATTTTATGAAATTGCATTAAAAATTTTAAGGCTTCATTTCTCCAAAGGTATCAAAGTTTTTAACACTAAATATTTACTGAAGTTTATTTATTGATCAGATATTGTGTTGCAATAATAAACAAAAAACTACCTTATGCAGAGTGTCTACAAATTTATATTAAATAATTAGCTGTTAGTGGCAATAACTTGTTTAATTCAAATGGAACACCCTATATATTTTACGAGAATCAGATACACAATTTAATTGTCTATCAAATTGTGTATTACAATTTTTTACCTATCTCTTCAAGTTTTCGAAGAAAATGCAATTTCTTATAATTTAGAAATTATTTATCACTATACCCATGGAATAATGACATTTTAGATTATTTTTACAGATGTAACAAATTTTCAAAGAGTACAGATACTAATATTGTCGATATAGTTCACTTATTTCATTAAAAAGTAAAAAAAAGCTGTTTAAATATTTTTTGTTAAAGAGGACCAATTAATATGATCCTAGTATTCAAACTACATTAATTGACTGTTTGCATTGATTAATAATAATTATTATTTATTTTATTGATTAATAATTATAATTATAATTGCTCCAAATACTGAAAAACTGAATTTTGTATGTTAACACCTTAAACATTTTATTTCATTTTTTGACGAATGCTCATTTATAACCGAGACGTTCAATTTCACAACATATTATTATATTGACTCCTGAGTCAAATCCACATTTATTTAGAATAATTTGTTAATTAAAACAATTAAGTATGTAATTAACTAATTTTTAGGTGAAAATAATGGTTAGGTTAGGGATATAATCAGATAGAGGAAATAGCACCTTTAAAAACTAAAGTATATATGCATTTACCTGCGAATTTTGTTATAAATATTTTAGTGCAAAGAAGAGTTCAGCATAGCCTATAAAATCACATGCCCAAGTTGCACAAGGTAATTGACCAAATTATCAAAGAAGTGAGGCAGAGTCAAGTGTAAGCATTGTCATCCAGGATATTAGTAATGATGGTGCATAGACTTTGACTGTGTCTTTCTTTGTCCTCTTTAAGAATGGAAAATTTGATTAACATCAAATTTTAATAATGATTAATAATAATTGCTCCAAATACTATAAAACTTAATTTTGTATGCGTATTAGACAGTGTGGTAAAAAGTAACACCTTATAAATTTTTCATAACGTTCATTTTCATAACTTATTATTATATTGATTTATGAGTCAAATCCACATTTATTTAGAATAATTTGTTAATTAAAATAATTAAGTAATTTTTGGGCGGAAATAATGGTGGTATATTTAATTGGTATACTCCTGTACTAAGATTTAAATAGTTTTCTTTTTGTAAACAAATGGGTTTGGAATTATTATTTTTACCACCTGTACATTGTGTACATATGTTACTTTAAAAAAATCTAAAATGTCAATATTAGGTATAGTGGTAAATGAGATCTAATAAATTATAAGAAAATATGAATTTTCTGCGAAAACTTGAAGAAAAAATGGTATAATACTATTTGATAGACAATTAAATTGTGCTTCTGATCACGTAAACATACAGAGTGTTTCATTTAAATCAAAGAAGTTATTCCCGTTTAAAGCTAGTAATTATTTAATACAAATTTTTGGACATTCTGTATAAGGTAGTATAATATTTATTATAAACTTACGTGCATAGAAATCGGCCCACTGTGAACTTTTGGTTTTAACTGTGTCTTTTAGAATCTATTTATCATGGCAAGAAAAATATGAGCTGTTTCAAAGACAATTTAACATGCTAAATATGAGCATAAATTTATTCAGGGTACTTATCGTTTATATGTGTACCAACGGGTAAACAAATAAAAGGTATTTGTGTTGTGGTGACAATAAGAATAACAAACTTGTCAAATATTGCAATTACTACCTTTGTAATCGAAATTTTCACATTGTTCTTTTATTTTTTGATTGTTTTATGTTTGTGTTTCATTGTTTGATTAGTGTTTCAATTTAATGCATGCATTACCGGAAAAAGCCGCCCATTTTCGATTAAAGCGATTACTTGCTTTAATCGAAAATGGACTTAAACAGAGAGCTGTAGCTCGGCAACTACATATGACACGCGGAGCGGTTCGAAGAGTGTGTGAACGATATGAGGAGACTCGATCCTTCCGTAGTCGACCTAGAACTGGTAGAAAGAGATATACAACGGACCGTGATGACCGCTTTATTGTGTCAACAATGTTAAGAAATCGGCGTCTTAATGCTATTCAGGTGCAACAACAGCTCCGTGAAACACAGAGGAGTGACTATTAGTCAGTGGACAGTAAGACCAAGATTGAAGGAAAGTAACACGATCCCCAAAACACCCGCAATTGGTTCAAAACTTACCACAGCTCATCGTCAAGCGCGCCTGCGTTTTGTACTGGAACATCTGAATTGAACACTAGAACAATGGGAATCTGTTTTATTCTCAGATGAGACCAGGATATGCCTCTATGGTAGCGACCAAAGAAGAAAAGTGTACCAGAGGCCAGGTGAGCGATTCGCAGAATGCTGCATTGAGGAGCGGATTGCTTATAGAGGTGGTTCCTGCATGATCTGGGATGCAATTTCTATGACTGCGCGAACCAATCCAGTTTGCATCCGTTGGGGCGACCGTCGGCACGGGAGAGGAGGTTTAACTGGTGCTAGGTATATTGAGGAGATTTTAGCAGTTCATGTGGTACCTTACGTCGACTGCATTGGAAACGAATTCACTTTTATGCATGACAATGCAAAGGCACACACATCAAGAATCGTACACAATTACATTTCAGAAGTCGGATTTCGGGTTATGGAATGGCCAGCATGCAGTCCTGACTTAAACCCGATAGAACATTTACGGGATGAGCTAAAACGAAGAATTCGTACTAGACGAAGAGTCCCAACTTCTATCAAGCTCATTGTTGCAGTAGAGAAAGAGTGGCTCAACACCCCGCAAGAAACAATATCAAATTTGATCAAATCTATGCCAAATCGTATGAGAGATGTTGTTAGAGCAAGAGGGGGTCATACCCATTATTGAAAATTTAGTTTAGTTAAATGTCCATAAATAAATAAATAATAACATACCTCTTAGTAATAAAAAACGATAATTTGTTTCATGCATTAATTTAATAATTTTAATTCAAAGAAACCAAAATACAAATTAATATCTCTAAACTCTTTTCAAAGAATATGAAATTGTCTTTCAAACAGCATGTATTTTTCCTTAATCTGACAAATAGATTCTAAAAAATATATTGTTAACTCTAAAATTTTGCCTTGGGCCGATTTCTATGCACGCAAGTGTATATTAACCCTGTATACTAATCTAATTACCTGAAATCGTTGATCCGAAGTATAGGTCAGGATTCCTACTGTAAGGATGTGTAAATCCCGTTTGCGTATCCAGGAAACCTGAAACAAAATATATATTTTAACTGAAAGCGGAAAGGAGTGGTGGGACAACAATAAACAAGCATCGGAAGCAGCCTTGCCATACCGAAAAAGTTTCAATATAACTTTGCTTTTTATCAAAGCCATTTTCCTTTATATAGGGCTGCTCGCCCAAAGGCATCTTTAACTTTTCAATTTTACGAGGAACTCAAGGTGAGGATAACTTATAAAAGGCGGTTTGTATATACGAAATGTGTCATCGTTAAAAATAATATTTAAAAAGGTATCGATAAAATTGATATTTTATCACCTGTCGGAAAATCCGTGCCGTTAAAGTAAAACAAACAATATTGTCATGCAAAATTTTATATAAAAATAAAATAGTTAACTGTAATAATTTTTTCCATGCGTCAATATGGTAACGTATATAGGGTGATTCACCGTGATGGCACGTTGACCTTTATGGAGAACTGGTGACTTGAAAATTTGCATTTTTATATAAAGACACCTGTTCCATCTGTTTAAAATATTTGAAATTACAATGAGAGTTAAAATGTTGCCGCATCAAAAGTGGTAGGATCTTTCTTATTTTAAATGGAATACGGCGGTATATTATTACATTTTTGGAAACTACTTTCATATCTCATAATTTTTCTATTATTCTAACCCATACTAGACGATCCTCTGAGAATAGGTCTTAGCAGAGCAGAAGCACGGAGATACCTCCGACTGCTCCACGAGGGACTGGCTCCAGAGGAAGCAAAAGCGAAAACACTCCTCCGAAAAGGGGAGAATAAAGAAACCAAGAAACAACCTTCATGTTCGACTCATCTCCATCAAAGGGCAAAAGAGGAAGCGAGAACCTCTAACCTCTTCTCCAGCGGGGAGAGAAAAAAGCTAGGAGAGAAAACCGTCCAACACCGGGATGCAAGCAGGGACGTATCACCAGCTTTGCCGCTATTGCTGGACAAGTGAAAATGGCGGTTTGGTTTTCCCAGGGATTTCCTGGGAAGGATTTCCCAGAGATTGCTCTGACCACCGACCAAGTCCCGGAATGGAACATGCCAAGAAAATCCTAGCGGGGCCATCCAAACATAGAACAGGAGAACTCCTAAAGGCCGGTAGGAATGGAACGCGTGTGCTCACTGCAGTGTAAACGGGCCACTGCAGAGAGATCTCACCTACAGAGGACGGGACTGGTGGAAGACGCCGAATGCCGACTCTGTATGGAAGATGACGAAACAATGAAGCACGTTATGTGTACCTGCCCCGCTGGGAGCAGGACCAGGTTTGAGATGTTTGGCAAACCCATGCTAGACCTATCAGACCTAGGAGACATATCGCCCTCAGACATAACGGCCTATATTAGGAGGCTGGGTCTTGAGGGTGAACTTTGACGCTCTTGTAAATTAGAGCGTGTAGAAACTGAGCCACAATAGGCCCTCGCGGCCTCAGTGGAAGGTCCCCCCATGGGACCCACTCTTAGTCAATACAATACAATACAAATACCGACCAGCAAACGTCTCTCGAAGAGGCTATACTGGACGAAAGAGTGGCGATCGGATCGCGACACAACGATCTACAAAATGTGGGTCAGCTGCGTTTTGCGGGGATACACTTTTGGGTGGGCATGATCCTCATAGATTGTGTATCTCAAGAATCGACAAATTGGTTGGTGGAAATCGCACCTAAGCTTAAAAATTGTCAGGGGCCGGAACTGGTTACAGTGAAGGGAGAAAACATCCCTAAAGGGGTGTCTATCACAGTCTTTCTGCCGAGGAGCAAGGGGAAATACACCACCTACCTGCTCAGCCTTATCCAGGGTCAGAACTTCAATGTAAGGACATCGAATTGGCGAGTCATCAACTCGAGGGAGGAGAGTCATGGTCAGGTCCTCACAATAGGAATTGACCTCAAATCCAAGGAGGCAATAGAGATAGAGGGACATATCCTCTATTATAGATACGGGATAACACCGGTATCAGGTCCAAGGAGAGAGTTAAGTTAAAGAGGTGGAGAAAATGGAGACAGATCCTCCAGCCTCCACCTAACGGGTTCCTCAGCCGGAGGCAAGCTCCTCCACTGTGAAGAGCGGCACGGAGGGCCAAACTCCAACCGTGGAAGGTTGTGTACCCTCGGAGGGAAGAACTGTTGTCAGAGGAGGATGGGAAATACCATGTCCCCTCTACAACAGGGGTATGATGGGTTATAGACTGTGTGATGACTCAAGGAAGGGGGCACAATAAATCTTTAAGGCCGCAGTGATTAACCCCTCTGACTCATTTCTATTTTCTATTTTCTATTCTAACCTATACTGGATCTCTGGAGATTATACTAATCTATACTAGATCTGCGCTATGTGGTGGTCAATCTGGTTAATTTGGATCTCTATCATCTTCAATAAAACCCTCTCTGCTAGAGTACTGTGCACCAGACAATAATATTATTATTTTTCAGTGACAGTGACTTTATATAATCATAAATACTATTTCACAGGTTTGTTGACTAGGACCAAACCAAATCAAAAGCAAATACATGGTTTTAGTATAAAATTACGAAAAACGTTAGTGACTTCTTCAAAAGAGAATACCTCCATATGCTTAAATCAAGGAAAATCTTTGATTTTCTCTCGGTTCTGAGGAAAATTTTCGAGTGTCTTAGACCTTTGGATGATTCCCATTCCAGGTTACGGATAGGCTCTCCAGGTTCTTCAGTTCCGCTTTAAGCTGGTTTCCGCTTGGAAAGCAGAACTTCTCTGGTCCAGTTAGTGGAGTGTTCGCTCCTTTTCTAGATAGATCGTTTGCTTTTTAATTGTCTTCTATCCCTTGGTGAACGGGAACCCAGAGTAGGACTTCCTTTCTTCCCTAAAGAAGCAGAGTAGGACTCTGTTTCTCTAGGCATTCTTTGAGCAACTTCGAATTGATGGTTTGATTATCGGATAAGATGGATATTTCGTGTTTTAGGATAAATCATACGCATCTTTCGATATTGAGAAATTGAATCGTTTAATTCAATACAATTTATCATATTGAAAAGAATCCCAATACCCATGACTATTTCAAGCCAACGGCGATGTCATTTCTTTTCGATCGTAAGGCAACAATCAAATTATACGAACACTTCAAAAATCCTTAATTTAGTTTAATTTAAATAATGTGCGAATTTCCAAGCGTTCAAAGGTTTTTCTTCTCCTCTTTAATTTTCTGTGAAACGTTTGATATCTAAAAGTAAGTTTAATCTCATCCGACAGAAGCAATTTGTATCTAAGAGCAATATAATGCGGGCTTCTTTGACCTATATTTTATTACATTTAGGTTTTATTATAGTCTCTGCGCCTTTTGCGTTCCAGATGTTTTATTTCTATTTTTCTTTTTAGAGTATAATTCATTTACCGACATAAATTTGTTTTATGCGGAACAATCCGCTTTGTAAGCATACGTTTTCTGTCTTATTAAATAAATGTAATTTATACAAGGCGATTCTCGACGATGATAGGTTTAAGAAAACAGCATTTTTGAAAATTTAATTTTTACACAAAGGCACGTACTCTATATAGGTAACATTAATAGTATTTTGAAGAGACATGTCATCATCATTATCATCATTTTAGTTTATTCAGCCATTTTCAATTATCGTGTAACCTCCCTTACATACTCTCTTTGTAGTTGGGGCCCATTGTTATCTATTTTTGGTTATGCGAGTCCAAGTTATCCCTGTTAATTTCCTAATACGAGGCATGTCTTTTAAGTAAGTACCGTTTTGCGATTCCGCCGCCGCAGCGCTACGGTCGGCGTTCCGCGCATGCGCGCTGGTTACCTACATCTCTTGTCTATGCACAGACGCCAGTACAGTCTGATTCTTCATTGTATACGTTGTTTATTGAGTGTTTAAGATGCCTCCGACAATCGTGAGCCCCGCCGATTGTGAAGTACGGGCTGTCATACGATTTCTTAGTGCTAAAGGCGTAAAACCGATCGATATTCATCGTGAGATCTGTGAAGTTTACGGACAAACCATTATGAGTGATGGAATGGTAAGGAAAAGGGTGAGAGCATTTAAAGATGGCCGCACAAATGTGCATGATGAAGAACGGAGTGGGCGTCCTTCGGTCGTTAATGAAGATTCGGTGCAGAAAGTGGACAAAGAGGTGAAAGAAAACAGACGCTTTACAATTTCATCATTGTGCGACTACTTTCCTCAATGTTCTCGTAGTGTTTTGTATCGCATTGTGACCGAGAACTTGAATTACCGGAAATTGTGTTCACGTTGGGTTCCGAAAATGTTGATGGATTTGCACAAAACCCAACGTTTAGGCAGTGCATTGACTTTCCTTGAGCAGTACCACAATGAAGGTGAAGATTTTTTAGACAAAATTGTTACTGGTGACGAAACATGGGTGGCCTACGAAACACCAGAATCGAAACAACAGTCCATGGAATGGCGACATTCATCATCACCCAAAACAGTGAAGTTTAAGCAAACAATTTCTGCCCGGAGAATCATGTGCAGTTTTTTGGGACAGAAAAGGAGTATTGCTAGTGGAGTTTCTGCCTCGTAATGAGACAGTCAAGGCAGCATCTTATTGTGAGACATTGAACAATCTGCGCCGTGCAATCCAAAACAAAAGACGTGGCAAGTTGAGTAAGGGTATTGTTTTGCTGCATGATAATGCCCGTCCACATGTGGCTAATCGGACCAAAGATCTCATCAAATCTTTTAAATGGGAAACTCTGATCATCCTCCATACAGCCTGATCTGGCGCCCAGTGACTACCATTTATTCCTGCACTTGAAGAAACACCTGGGCGGTCAACGTCTTCAAGACGATAACGAAGTCAAAACAGTTGTGATACAGTGGTTAACCAGTCAGGCGGCAGAATTTTATGAGGAGGGTATTGAAAAACTGGTGCCACGTTATGACAAGTGCCTCAATATTCACGGAAATTATGTAGAAAAGTAGATTAAGGTACAGGCTTTCATGTAAAAATAAAATTATTGCGATATCTTTGCACGTTTTTTTTA